TCAACAACAAGTATATAGGATGGATAAACTGGATGAGACTGCCCGACTAACAACTACCCTGTCCAATGCAACTGGGCAGAAGCTTGGTGAAATTGATGACTCTGAGACGAGCTTAATGGGAAGATAGGGCAAGGCTGCTGAATGGGTTTCTATATGTTGATTCGGATATCGAATCGAACTAATGATGACAAATGATGACAATGATAATGATAATGAGTCTAACATAAGATAATAGCATTGATTTAGACTGGGATTAGATTGGTATAGCACTTAGGACTACCTAAAGCTTATACCATTCCACTAGCATCGTCTTTGAGTGTTATCTATAGACACGCCCTCTTCCATTGTCAGCATCAAGTACGGGGCATAAACAGCTTTATTTTATATGGCTTTCGCCCGGTGAAATTTCCTCTTTGGCCAAAAATTGCTCGTCACGCTGCACTTTGGCTGACCCACAGACCACAGAACCACCAGCAAGCCACCCAGGCAGACACACATAAACACAAACACACACACACACACACACACACAAGCACACACACACATAGACTCACAGCGTTGTTTGCAATTTTCTTGACAGTATGCCCCATCAATCCATTGAAACGTTCCACATCCACATCATGCATGCGCCTAGCCCCGCCCCGCTCCGCGCCGTCCCCCACTTGCATGTGAGACCGAGACGAGGCAACTTTTGTGACAGCGACAATACAGAGGCGCGCCCCTCCCCCTCTGGCAGCTCGGATGGATGCCAACGCCCCATCGGCCGCACGCCGTACAGTCTATAGAATTTATCCGCTGCGCTACTTTTCAACAGAGAAACATAAATTGTTTGGCTAATTGCAAGTGGCTTTCGTCTGTTGGCGCTGCTGCAGGAGCAAAGCCGGGGAGCAGAGCAAGCAGAGAGCAGCAACAAAGAGCCCAAGTAGCACCGACTCGCGAACAAAGGACCATCTTCTCCAGCTCCAGCACTAGCTTCGTCTTCAGCTTCACATTTAGCTACAGTCACTTTAAGTTTACAGAGCTCGTCTTTCTCTGCGCGTAATTGGCAGGAAAAAAAAAAAAAAAAAACTTGGGCATTGGGTGCTGGGCACTGGGCGAGAACATGGACAGAACATGGACGGAACATGGACAGAGCTGGCAGTGATTGGGCAATGGAGCTACAGCTGCTTTTTGGCAGCCAAGAGCATTGTCAGAGCTCACAGTTCAGCTCACACTTGCTGCTTACGAAAACGTTTTATGAGTTGCCGTTATTATTTTATATTGCAGAATACTGAAATGCCATTCAGATAGATCGAAAATATAATATCTTTGTACACTTCGTTAGAAAGAGAGAGAAAGAACTTTATAATTACAATATATAAATAATTATTATGAATATAAGCATAAATAAATATTTATAAGTTGACTGAATATAAGTTGTAAGAGAAACTTTATGCATAGCAAAATGCATTCGACTTTAGGATTATAGCTATGTGAATATACATATATGTGTATATATATATATAGGTTTTCTATTTAACAGCTAGAACGGGGTTTTCTTGAGTTTAGTTTAAAATTTTATGGTAAATCATTCACACATAAATTAGACAAATTTTTGCTGTCTGTTTAAATTGTTTATCAAAATAAGAAATCTGCTCGCCAAATTTATAACTTTGTTTTTCGATTGAACATATTTTTGGTATATAATCATAAATTTCCTATTTGAAGTGAAGATAATCCATAAGCATGTTTATTATTTTTGAGTTTTATAAAATCATTATAGATAAGTTTTACCTTTTATTAAGTGTATAGAGCTAATGTAGGCAGTAAGAATGATATATAGAACGTAACTATATAGAGTGAGAGGGAATATTTGATGGATTTCAAGTCGTGCCCCGGCTCTATACGACTTGAGGGTGCTAGCGTCTACTGCAGTGGCTCTTGGATCTCTGGGATGACCTAGTATAACTTTCTATAGTCAAACAGTGTAATTTGTGTAACAGATAGACGATATTTTGTAGACTAGTGTTGTCCATTCTTGTCCTAATTGGTTAAAAAAAAAAAATATTTAGTTTTAAAAATTCAACTTCGATTTGTGTCTTATTGCCAGAGTTTTTGATTTGATTCACTTCTGCAAGTTATAAGTGATATATTAGTTCTTTTACAATTTTACAATTTGATTAAATTATTCTTATATTTTTATTTTACTGGGTTTTTTTATTTGCTTTCTATTCTATAGAGCAATCAGAATTATTATTCTTTAATTTATTTCTACATGAATTCATTTATAGAAATGCCTTTTTAGCGCATTCCAGATCTCCGTAACATAAATAATCTTATTATCCTAAGATACTATTGTTTTCTATCAAAATAAGTTTGAATTTGGGGAAAACATGTTAAAAACTATATAAAAGCAATTAAGCTCTCAAATTTAAATACACATTCAATCGAAGCAAATGCTGTCGTTCATTCAACTTGTTCAGTAATTCATTTATCACTCGACTTCACACGCAAAAACATTTGAAATGATTTTTGTTCAATTGACGAAAATATCATTTGAAAACAATGAAATAATTCCATGCATATTAATTGGAGCCGTGTCGGCCTAGAGCGATAGACGTGCTGGCCGTGCGCAGCTGGCATTCGATTCAAGATTCATGGCGCTTGGCCGCATCAAAGTGTGAACATTCCGCAGCTGAGCTGGCTCAAATTAATATGTCGTTTGTCTGCGGACATTGAATGAATTTCTATTAAAGCAATTACCGCATATCACGTTGCAAATCCCTGGCCAAATTTGCTTACGGCTTAGGCATTCCGCAAAGTGCGTGCATGTATGTGATTCGCCAGGCTTTGGCTTCGGCTTCGGCTTTGGCTTTTACGAAATTGAAGTTGAGTGCAAATATGCGCCCGGACGGGGGGCGGGAGCGGCGGGCGAACGGAAACAAGGCTGGTGCTAATTGCCAAAGCACACATATTGATGAATAACAACGAATGCCATTATCTAAACAAATATATAACAAATTGACAATGAAGGCTGCAGCCCGATAACACTGGCTCTCTAATTAAAGGCTTACGGCTAGGCAAACAGAGCACACCGGAATTATCCGTAAAGCACAGGTGCAGAGCGTTGCATACACTGGCAAACATGATGTGTTATGATAGACTTCAAGCTGTTTACTTCTCCATAAATATTCAACTAACTAAAATAGCGAAAATACAATACATACATACACTCAAGATAGTTCTAGCTAGCTCTATTCAAGAGGTATAAATATTAAATTCAATTAAGAGAACAAATGAGACTGTCCAAATTTATCAAGCTCATTTTAATAGCCGTTTACAAAGTGTCTACCCTTCGTGGCCTCCGACTTTTTGTCTGTCTCCGTCCGTCTACTGCTTGTCCCTCTATCCGTTTTGCTGTCCGTCTAACTATCCGCCTTGCTGCTTTTTGTGCGGCTTGCTCTCCATCTTTCCGTCCATCTTGTCGTGCGTCTTACTCTCCTATCCATCCTATTATCCGTCCTGTTATCCATCTTGCAGTCCATCTGTCTCCATGAACACATTTCTCTGCTACTGAAGCTCAACTAAACTAAGACTTTTTCGCTGATAAACAGAAAACTGAACTAAATGGAAATTACTACAATTTATGTTACATAAGCTCTAAAGCTCAGGCGCTATTGAAACAACGGACTTGTAGGTCGGAAAACCAGAAACAACTTTAGACTTTAACCTCTTCAGATTTACAGCTACAAACTGACAATGTGGCAACTAAGTTGACCACGTCCTCTGTTAGCTAACATCCTTTTTCTATTGTTCCTATAAATATCCTTTACATCTTTCTTAGTTTGAAACTTTAAATAGACAGATTTTCCGATGATTCGCTGTTGATCTATAGCGCTGTCCATATTCGACGGATCCATCTGGCAACTCTGCAAAGTTGCCCATATTTTGTTTAATCAAAGAGAAGTAAAAATTTTTTATTGACGATAAAAATCGTTTTATTTGGTGACTGACAATACTTTTTATACCCTGAACCCATTGAAAATGAGAAATCAGGGTATAATGGTTTTGTGAAAAAGTATGTAACGGGCAGAAGGAGGCGTGGCAGACCCCATAAAGTATATATATTCTTGATCAGCACGACGAGCTGAGTCGATATAGCCCTGTCCGTCTGTCCGTCCGTCCGTCCGTATGAGTGCGTCGATCTTAGAAGTTATAAGAGCTAGAGAGCTGAAATTTGGCATGCATACTCGTGTACCATACGCAGTACGAGTTTGCTTTATTTTTCCGATAAATCATCCGATAACTTTTTTATCGAGAATAATCGAAAAATTGATTTTGTTTTTTCAGCCTAATTTGAACATGTCTACAAAAGAAATTATTCAACAAATAAATTCTCATAATATTGCTCACACTGCAGCGCAGCCCAAGCGCAGTCGCAGCTTACTGCGCAGTTAGCAGAGCGCGTTTTTATACGCGCGTCTGGATGCATGTGTATGTATGTGTGCATGGAAGAATTGCAGAATGATTAGAATATCAGCTTAGAGGGTTCAGGGTATCTCCTAGTCGAGCAGTCTCGACTAGAGCTTTCTTACTTTATTAATATGACAGATCTCAAATGACAGCTTTGAGGGTTGCCAGATGGCTGAGTCGAATATTTCTTTCGATAACTTGCATACTCCGTATTTGCTCTCTTAAATTTTACTGCTTTAAGCATAAAATCTACTAATGTGGTCCAGCCTAAGAACAAAACAGAGGCTAACTCAAGTATTCATTCCATTGCTCTGTCAACGAGGAGCAAGTCGTCTAATTGGCTTAATTAAAAGTGCATGCACAAGTTCGTTCGATTGTCTACTTCGAATTCGAGTAATAATAATTAACCATAAAGCCTTATTTAGTATGCTGTAAATCAAATGTTAAAATCAGATACTTGCATTTGCAGAAAATACCACTATTAATATCTATCTCTCTCTCTCTCTCTCTCTCTCCCCCTCTCTCTCTCTTTTGCATGCATCGTTTAGTGGTGGTCGTTAACCAACAAATGCGCTCGACCACAAACCTATTGATTATAAACCTGGCCGTCTCGGACATACTCTTCGTCATCTTCTGCGTGCCGTTCACGGCCACGGACTATGTGCTGCCGGAATGGCCGTTTGGCAATTTGTGGTGCAAATTTGTGCAGTACATGATTGTGGTCACATGCCATTGCAGGTGAGCTAGGCCCGGGCCCATCGACCCGGAATTGTTCAGCAGGCGTGCATGTGTATGCATGAGTATGGTTTATTGTTGTATTTTCTCTGCCCTGCAGCGTCTACACACTCGTCCTGATGTCCTTCGATCGTTTCCTGGCCGTCGTGCATCCCGTCACCAGCATGTCCCTACGCACCGAACGCAATGCCACGCTGTAAGTAACATCGCTCGACCCGCCCTGTAGCACCTGTGTCATTGTGTCAATTAGTCCGGGCCTGACCTAGCCTGACCGAGCTCGGACCCAATTGGTTTGCTCTTAGCCCACTTCTTAGGCGCCTAAGGGCGAGTGTGTGTAGGCACAATTCCAATCAGATTCATATCTAGCCAACTGACTAGGCTTATCCTACATGTATTCATGGTTTCAGTTCTTCCGAAATTCTCATGGAAGCTATTCGATTAAGCATAAATTTCGCTACAGTGCAGAAATTTTCTGTAACAAAAGATTGCAAGGCCAATGAAAATATTTTGTAACGAATTTATGCAAATGCAATTTTCATAAACTATTCATAAAGAGCTGCAGCCATAGCCATAGCCTCTGATTGGCTAGACGAGAGTAAATCAATTTAATTATGAATACAGATGCTGCATTAGGGTCTAACAAAACCAACTAATTGGGCATCAATTACCTAAGACATTTGCCTTTATTTGTCTTGCCATCACACACACACTCACACACACACACACAGCGCCATTATGTGTGCCTGGATAACGATTGTGACAACTGCTATACCCGTTGCTTTGGCCCATTCGGTGAGGATCTACCAGTATCATGGACGCGCTGGCACCGCCTGTGTATTCTCCACCGAGGAGGAGGTCTGGAGTCTGGTTGGCTTTCAGGTAAGTCAAGCGATTGATTGCACGCTTTGTGGCCTCTAATCTGGCTGTCGTTCGTACCGTTCCGACTCGACTCTCCGCCCCTACCCACACCGTTCGAGTCGACTCTCTGATTAATGTTGCCACATTATTCATGCCTCGCCGCCAAATTTGTCACTAGCTCGCGGCTCTACACATGGAAATTGCGTGAAATTACAGAATAGCGACTTAAGTGACGTCTGCTCCAAAAGCAGACACCATTTCCACACAATTTATCGCAAATATCTATGTATAGATGTGTGGGTGTGTGTGTGTGCGTGTATATATATCGCTTATTGTTGCCGTAAACTCATATTTTCCAGAGCTTGAAAGTAACTTGCAATATATTTGCTACTTACACACACTCAGACACACACACACACACACACACACACAGCACGCTCCAAGTGGAGTGACGAGCTGAAACAGAAACAGGAACGACATCGCGCTGACAGCGTTTTACCCAAGCTACAACTGCACTGTGCAACTGGGATTAGTGCTAACGGAAATGCTGTGCAACAATTGTACTGTTAGCTCAGAAGCTGCTTTATATACAGATTAACAGCTTGTGTACCCAGCATAGGGTCTGATAATTTAACCACAACCATATAGAAGTTGACAGTAAATACATCAATGGTCAACTGGCAATCGAACTATTTATGGTAGTGTACTTGATTAACTAGCTTACGAGTTCGGTGTGTTTACATATTTCAATCAAATATGTTGAAGGGAAATGAAATCGCCATTGGAATGTGCTGAGATCTGACAACAATAATCTAAAATCTTTCCCCATCTTTCTATGATTCTCCGTCTCTATATCTATATGTATTTTTTTCCGGTATCACTTTCTCTATATATTTCTTGCTACATCTCTCTTTCTCTCCTCTCTAGCCGCAACTCGCTCTCTTTCTCTCTCGTGATATCTCTCACTGTATCTCCCTCAATGGCTGCTTTCCACCTTCTCTCTGCCGTTCGTTCTCTCTCTCTCTCCCTATCCATCTATCTATCTAGCTATCTCTCTCTCCTTTAGCTCTCTCTCTCTCCCTGTCTCGTTCTTCTTCTACCTGCCTTTCTATTTTCCTCTCTATTACTGTCTCTTTTTCTTGCTCTACCTCTTCCACTCTCTCTCTTTCTCTTCCTCTTCCTTTCTCTCACTCTATCTCTCTTTCTCTCTGCGAGACTCTTTCTTCTTCTCTCTCTCGCATCTAGCTGCCATTATGTCTCGATCTCCCTCATTATCTCCCTTGCTATATCCACTATTACCTCTATGTCGGTCTATTACTGACTATGTCTCTCTCTCTCTCTCTGTCTCTCTCTCTTCATCACACTCTCTCGACTCCTCCCTCCCTCTTGTTTTTTGCTTTTCCTCTATCTCCACTGTTAATATACAAAAGCTCGCTAATAGCTTTATCTTTCATTCCGCATTACCTTTTCATCTATTTCATCTTCAACTGAAACATTGATTATCTTTCTCTCATTCTCGCTCTCCTGTCTCTCTCTCTCTCCCTTTCTCTCTCTCTCTCTCAGTCTTTCTCCCTCTCTCAAACGCATGTGTTTTAAGCTAACTGCAATGTCTAAGCACATATTAAGTTTCAGCATTTGCAACAATTCCGCAAAATGCTCTGATTGAAACTTGAACCACTGTGCAAACACAGTCACACACACAGTCAACAATCGGTTGTTGTTTAGCAACAGACATTCAGACAGCAGTCCCATTTAGGTATGCGTGTGTGTGTGGAGGGGGAAGGGGGACTGCCTGTGTGCTCTTCAGCTAGCTAAGGCATCCAACAAAGCCGGGCCAGAAGCCAATGTACAACTTAATAATGTCGCAATTCCATACGAGGGAGAGCCAAATTGTAGTGTATATGGTGCAATTAAGTTGACTCTGTCACTCGTACCAACGAGTCACTGAAAGAATATTTTTAGTATTTTGTTTCCATTTAGAGAAGTTTCTAAAATGGCTGACTTCAGCGAAATCCCAGTTCGCTATGATAGATGCAAGCGCTCAGCTCTAGATGACAATGCAAACATATCTAGAAATATCTCTTGGTTATTATAGATGTATGCCTATAGCTGTATTCCTGGGAATTTTCTACTTTAAGTCGCAAAAGGGTAAAACATTTGCACAGTCTAGAGCAGCGCAGTAGCTGCAGCAGTTGAAGCATCTGCAACGTCAAATTGGCAACGCGCCGTCCATGCTCAAGCGAGTGCATTGGGACGGACACGAATGGCTCTTAGCACCTTGGCCGGGCCGGGGCGGGACGGGACGACTGGGCTGGCGACGGGCTCGAGCTGTGCGCCATCCAACATCGACTAGAACAACAATGTGGCGTGTCAGAGCAATTTTATGCCGGAAGGATGTTACACAGCGAGTCCGCACTTGCGGCCAATGAATGAACACAAACAACATCAGCGACAACAACAAGGATAACACACTAACTGCAGTTGTTCGTCCGTTTATGAGTGTGTGTGTGGGGTGTGTGTGTGTGTGTGTGTGTGTGTGTGTGTGTGTGTGTGTGTGTGTGTGTGCCTATATACGAGCACCCCGCGCTAATATGCACTTGTGGAGCTCGCGTCTAATGCTACTCATGGAGCAATTTACACGGCTCCATTCGCTGACATTGGCAAGGACAGAAACAGGAATAGTAGCAGGGATATGGAAAATGGGTCGATATGTTATGTCGTTGGCCTGGCAGAGCATATAAATCACAATTACTTTCATGACGCGACGGCATGATGGCGCATCAAATACCCCGCAGTGAAAAGTAAAAGTGAAATCAAATGAAATGAAAATCATATGAGGCTGTTGCTATATATGTATATGGGGACAATGTTTCAGGTACGAGATATTCGAAATGCATATACATAGATTCTTTAGATTCCTTTTTGATCGCATAATCTATATAAATATTGTTATAGCTACAGGGTATGAGAGTGCGAATACTCGGAGTATTAAACTTGTAAAACACTTCAAACACTTGTAAAAGACTTCAAGTTGAATTAGTGCCTAGGTAATAATACTATTTATCAGTTATAATTGTGCCGCAAATGCAATTTATGATATGCTAAAGAGTGGCAGACAATATATAGAGGGTATTGTGGGTGCGACATTAATGTTTCGCTAGCAGCCAAAAAACAAAACAAAACTAAACAACTTTTTCTATGGCGAGGAGTTTTATTTGGTTTTGGTGTTTACTTTGGTTTGGATCCCCAAATGTCATGTTTCAATGCTTTGTTGTTTTAGTTGCTGTTATTGTTGTTGTTGTTATTGTTGTTGTCTGTTGACAAACAGTTGAGCATTTCGCTAGCAAATTTGGCGTTTCAATTTATTGCTCGCCCGCACATAAAAATGGATCAAACTTTTGACGCCTAAACGCAACACAGAAAATAAAACAAAAGCGAAAATATACGAGTTACATTCGCCTAGAAGAGAACTAGCAGAGAACACAAATACAGAGGCATTAAGAAATATGCGAGGGCGCCTGACTAGCCGATACCCTATATCTATATGATAATATTACAATGCAGCTCTGACAATCTATATGAATCTGACAATATATATGACTAGATTTTCAATATTATGAAAAACTGTTCCGAATTTGCATTCGAAATTGAGAAATGCGTATAGGTGTTGATGGGCGACCCACTGTGGCGCTTGCCTGGGTACAGGGCATGCTGTTGTCATCGTAAATAAATAATAAAATAAAACAAAGAGGGTAGAACAGAAACAGCAACAGAAACAGACACAAAAACACGCCTTGAATCTGCCCCATGTGACAGGCGTGACCAGGGCACTGGACAACTTTACTTTATACGAACTTTAGTTTAGTTTAGTTCAGTTCAGTTCTTAAAGTTCTTTGTTTCTTGCTGTTGCTGTTGCGGTTGAGGCCAGTTCAAGGCTTACGAGCTTTTCAGTTTCAATTAAGACCAACACCTTTTCCGCATGGCACAGGCTTTTTGCACAGCCTCGAGTAAAATGTTTGAATCTCTTAAAAAGCTACGGCTTTATTTATTAATTTCAAATTACGTTTGAACATGAAATAACTGCATCTGGCATAAAATTTCTTTTTGAAAATGTTTTAACATTAAGTGCTTACAGAGAGGATCAAAAGGAATTACAAAACTTTCTTAACTTGTCGAGAGAAGTTAAACACAGCGAGGCTTGCATATGTGTACATATACATATATTTGAGCATCATTGAAACACCAATGCAATGCAATAAAGAGATATTGATAATGATTCAACGAAACTTTGTTAAATTTCTCAACCTGTCTAGCAAATAAATATTCAAGTAGATGTACGAAATAACGTAACTACGTATGTATAAAGATACATGTATGTATGTATGTACGAGCTGCCTCAATTTGCTCACTTTCCACTCTCATTTTATTAAACTGCTCTCAATATCCAATTGCCCCAGAGTACTTTCTCTCTTTCTTTCTTTCTCACTGAGCTTTTCTAGAATGCCGATTCTAAGTCGCTTTCTATTCGTCCTCTGACAATCATAACGAGCATGTTCGAATGTCTTCAATAGCCATCTCGCTCGCACTCAGCAATAGTCGGCACTGCGTTCAGCCACAGCTATCAATGTATCTTTCTCTCTCACACACACACAGAGTGCATGCAGCTAGGTCGCAAACTCACTCTGATCACATTTTTACTGCAACTCTATGCAAGCTTAGCCTTGCACTAATACTAATGCAATCGCTAAGAGCCAATCACGAATTCGGAAGCATAGAAATGAGACTCGGCAATTGATTCGATAGTCTCGTGTCATATTTTATTAGCGATCGAAATTAACGATTCGAACTTGCAGGGGAACAGAGATTTTTACAAATTACATGAGTATTAAATTTCTCATTTAACAGTGGTAAAAAGTGGAATTAACGGGTATTTTATATTTTAAATGAAGTTTGCAAATTTAACTCTTTACTCTGTAGACTTAATTATTTATGGATAATATTTGCTATTTTAAATTGTTTCT